TAAAGAAAAAAAATGTTTGGATTATTTGTTACTCATTAATAACTTGTTTTTTTTTTAATAAAGTATATTGATTTTGTATTTTGGTTGACCTAGATACGTTGTTTGTAAGAATAATTTATTGTGTTATTTAATCAACCTGATTCTGTCTGAAAGACTTCATCATCCAAAATGCTGAAGTCAATCTCACTTGCAGGTAGACGCTTGGCAAGATAGACAATATAGTTGTATATTTTTGTTTCTTCACTGGCACAAGTCCACAGTACTTCAATTTCAGGATCCAATGCCTTTTTAACTCCTCGTCCTTAAACAACTACATTGTAAGGATGTGCAAAATCGCAAAAACTGCTATCAAATATGCATTAGTTCATTATATCCGCCAATTGACATGGCAGAACGCAACAACACTGGATACGTTGGTGTTTCGATTCTGGTGTCCGTGATTGTTTGTGCATATTTTTTGGATGATAAATCATAGCAATCTAAAAATAAACATTTATACATTTATATATGCATTTTATACCATGGAGCATTCCATAATAGTCTACCTTGCTTTTGATATAAATGCAAGTTACCAATTGTAGATCTTGGTGTGTATTTCTGCAGAATTTGAGGTTGCATTTTGTTGATTAGAGAAACGGATATTAAATCTTCCAAACCTGGAATGAGATGTGATGGTCGAGGTTGTGGAGTAACAATATTTGTTTTCAGCAATAAAACTCATTTTCGGGGTTTTCCATTGATTTAAAAGTTCGTCATTCATTTCAAGGCAGGTTTTGTGAACCCACTTTTTACATGTCCCACAACAAATTCTTCCATCTCCACACTCTTTGAAGCACATTACACAAGGGTATTTAACTTGATCTTTCTTTAATCGATTCATATTGAAATAAATACAAAATGAAACCCGTACAAACTAGAAAAAAGAGCTTTTAAAAATTCTAACCGCAAATTTTGAAGAATTATTTTAAACAAGACGTCGACAAAAAGCACTGAAGAAGTTCGTGGAGTTCATAAAAATTTGGTAAATAATTATACTATTTGCTTTTTGTAATACTATTCTTTTAAAAACTTAATTTTTTGAAATGATTTCAACGCAAACTTTTCCCTTAGGACATTATCATTAGCAGTATGTACATTACTTTTAGGATATTGGTAATGTTTTAAATAAATATAATTCCATTTGGAAATTAAATCCGCACAAAGGAATTTGCGTGGATTTGCACTCAACAGCTGTTAAGTTAGAAGAATTTTAAATTTCATTTATAACTAACAAGTTAAACTGCTATAATCTTGAAGTTTTTTCCGCATCATTTTATCATTTAAAATTAATCTTTGTTGAAAAGTTCAATCACGTGTTTTGCAGATCAGTGGTGCTTCCTAACAGATCCGTTTCCTACTAGGTGCCTTTTTTGTTTCCATAAATGTTAAAACAAGTATTTTTTGAACCACTGAATTTTTATTATGCGGAATGCCCTTAATGCAACATCTTCTTTATTTGGGTTTTTTATAAACTCTTGGTCAAATTATTTGAATAGATTAAGTATATTACAGTTAATTCTTACGTTATTTCGGGATATTTTGATTTAATTGGGTTATTTCGGGTTAATTCGGGTTATTTTGGGTTAATTTGAGTTATTTTGGGTTATTTTTAGTTAATTATTTATCAATCATATCGCACACTGTATTATCGGTCAATTATTTGAATAGATTAACTTTATTACAGTTAATCGATACGTTTTTTTATTTTATTTTAGGTTATTTCGAGTTATTTCGAGTTATTTCGGGTTAGTTATTAGTCAATCATATCGCATATTGTATTAACGGTAAACTATTTTAATAGATTTATTATAAGTTTATTACAATTAATTTATATATATGTATATATATATATATATATATATATATATATATATATATATATATATATATATATATATATATATATATATATATATATATATATATATATATATATATATATATATATATATATATATATATATATATATATATATATATATATATATATAATAAATGCAACGTTAGGCCAACGTATAAAAGAAAAAATTGAATCAACGTAGAAAGTATAACCATTTTCCGAATTTAATAAAACGTTTTATCAATATTGGTTTTTAGTTGTTGGCGACGTCGCATTTTTAACCATGATATAAAAACAACGTTGGCAGCCGATTTTGGCCCAACGAAACGCGCGACATTGTTCTAATATTTTAACAACGTATGTGTGCTAGCTGGTAAGTTTCAAATGGTTTGATTTTACCACTTGGTGGACAAGAAATACATCCGATTAATATATTACGATATTTTTTATTAATAATTTCAATGAAAAGACTTTCATAGTTGTCATTTCCCAGTGGGCACGGAAGTAAAAAAAGACGTCTTTTAAACGTCTTATACACGTTTTAGACGTTTTCTGAACGTCTTTTGAACGTTTTGGACGTATTTTAAACGTTTAAAAGACGTCTTTTTTACTTCCGTGCCCACTGGGTTGACTAGCATAGTATGTTTTTCAACTTAAAATCATGCTTTTTTAATACATAAACCCTTAATCTTCCAATTTTTTCCCATTTCCTTGCGTTTGACCAATTATATTATAGAATGGCAAATTATAAATATATTTTATTTAAGAGAATTTTTGGAATCGTGAAAGAGATATGACGTCGAACGTGTAATTTAAAATATTCGAAAAATTTTTAAGTTTTTCGAAACTGATAATTATTCTTTTTCTGTTTTACATATAAACATGCTTCTGCATGTTTATATGTAAAACAAAAAAAGAATAATTATCAGTTTTTACTTTAAAATCAAAAGGATCAATATATGAAGTGTTAATTAAGATCACTTGAGTCTCCTGAAAAATTTTTAAGTTTTCCTCACAAAGGTTATTTATAATGTAAAGAACAAGAAAAAACTTTTAAAATTAGTTTAGTGAATACATTGTTTATATTGATGTGTATTTTTATTGTTATATTTATATGTCATGTATTTTTGTGTATGCATTTAATGCATTTTTTACTATTATTAATCTTAGTTTTATGTATAATAAGTGTTTTTCTGATTATATTTTCGTTATTTGTTTATTATACTTACAATATATTTTTGTTATTATATTAGAAAAACTAAAATTACTATATTTATCGAGTCTTTGTATTCTTTTATCAATAATCGTTTTTATGTCATCGTTATTAGTTACGTTTTGTCAGTTTATTACTGTTTGTAACGGTAACTTTGTATATATAATTACGTATGGAAGATAGTATTGATTTAATTCTTTTAGTAACTGGTTTTTATAATTTTTGTTGACGTATTTAATGAACAGCCTATTAAATATTTATTTAACAATTCCGTTATATAGGTGTTGTATTTATTATTATCACGTTTTTATTTTATTCGTTATTATTGGGTCTTAATTATACTTACTGGTAATTATTATTATTGTTATTTTTATTATAATACAATTAATTATTTTTATTATTGTTGTTTTGTTAATTTATTGCTATTTTTATTATAACTACAATTATGTGTCTATAATATGTTTTATATCATCAAAGACGTTTTTACTTTATATTAGTATTTATAACTATTTGTAACGACCGTGGAAGTTAATCTTTTTTCCAGAATATATAATTGATTGATTGATAGATTGATTGATAATGTTGTTTTCAAACGGAATCAAATTAAAAATTTCAATATTATATTTCATTTCATGTTGCGTAGCAATTTTTAATGTATAGTTTAAAAAATAAAAGAAATTTCCCAAAAAAATAAGAATATATAAATATTTAATAAATCAAAAAAAAACTAATTTCTTCATTTCTGTGCGTTGAATTAAATGGTACTGTATGGTTGCTATCTCTAAATTCATCTACAATAAGTTTATTGTATACAACTTTCGCATAATAGCCATTATGACGACGTAGCTTTGCTTGTTCAAAGAGTTTTTTTCGTATTTTTCGTGTAGTAAAACTAAAATCTTTATCTATAAAATTGCTGCTCCCTTTTAATTTGATTGCTTTTTTTATAATTATTTTTTATTTTCGTAATCAAAATGTTTTACGACAATTGTTCGCTCTCGTCTTTCTTTAGCGACCCCCACTCCATGTGCTCGTTCTATTTTTATATCTTTCTCGAACCAAGTTTTAGTTTAAAAAGATGTTATACCTTTTCTTTAGTGATATCTCAATCTCTTTCGTCGCTTTCTAAAATCCCGTCAGTTCTCAAGTTGTTTCTTTTGTTACAGTCTTCACTATCCACAATCTTTAGTTTTAGTTCGTTATTTTCCAAAGATATTTTGCCCTGTATTTTTCTAACATTGGTTAAACCTTTGCAAACCTTATTAAATTTTTTGCCCACTGCTTTTACTTTATCTTCACATTCATATCTAACAAAATTCATGCCTGATTTTAATTTATCTAGTTTGCGTCGAACATCTTGAAAACACCTTTGAAAATTATCAATCTTTTGATTTATGCCTGATTCTTGAAAAAAAGATAGAACCGTATCTTTTTGTAGATTAAGCAGCTCTCTCATCATAACAATCGAAACAAATTTGTCTGATATAGCCAATATAAATTATTTTATGTAAATTTTTTTTTTTTTTTTTTTTTTTTTTTTTTGTTGCTGTAAAGAAAAAACGCGTCCGTTCACCACGATACAATCCACAAAAAAAAGTTCTTAATTACAAGTACTATTTTTTGTTTTTTTGGATTTTAATATCCGGCTACCGAGTGGGCACCGGATCAAAAAAAGACGTCTTTTAAACGTTCAAAAGACGTCCAAAACGTTTAAAAAAGACGTCTAAAACGTGTATAAGACGTTTAAAAGACGTCTTTTTTATGTCGGTGTCCACTGGGTATGCTTTTTTAATATTATAACAAAACTATTATCTATGGTTTAAAACAAATTCTATCACATTCAGAAACATTTATTTATTATTCAAATCCAATATACTAGGATATTTTTTAGGTTAATTCACAAAATTATCTTGCAAATGTTGAAAGTTTTTATTGTATTATTAAATCATTAAAGTGACAATAGAACATTACGTATCATAAAAATCTAAAATCAAGTATTTACAAGTAATTATATAATAATTAAATTTCTAAAGAAAAATTCTAAATAAAAGCTGCAAATATTGAATCTGTGCGAATTTCACATGAACACGATGCTCCAAACATAAATGTCACTGTTTGTGATAAACCGGCATTGTTAAATGTCACCGATTTTGCCATTGTGTTTGTCGTACACGAGCCTTCACCTGTCAAACAAGTTTCATAATAATCGGTGTCTTGACACGTGACATGGTTGTGATTACGAGGAGAATAACTTAAAATATAATGTAAGATACATACTTTTTTAATATATATATATATATATATATATATATATATATATATATATATATATATATATATATATATATATATATATATATATATATATATATATATATATATATATATTAATATTATGCGGAACAAAATAAACATTCATCAACTGAGTGATTTTGGAGTAGACTAAACTGAAAGCATGTATTCACGCTTTCAATAAATGTTTTTATGAAATAAAAACATTTGTTAATTATGAAGATTTTTGATTCTTTTTTTTTAAGTATTAAAGTGGTCCAAAATGGTCTAATGGTTTTATCGCAAAGAAAAGAGAATTTAACTTGAAAGTTTAAACCGTCTTCCTAACCAGTGGCTCATGTTCGGTCAGAGCTGACCGAATATAAGAAACCATGGAAATACATGGAAATAGGCTGGGTGAATGAAAAAAGCAATTGCTTCTTTTTATTAATTGGTCAGCTTTATAAATTTTCATTAATTGATCAGTTTTACGTAAACAAAAACTTTAGCAGTTTTGCACAAATTTTTATTCACGTCAAGTTAAGCAATTTACTCAGCAATTGCTCAGCTTTACGTGAATACAAACTTGAGCAAAATTGCTGAAATTTTTATTCACGTAAAGCTAACCAATTTCCCAAGTCAACGCATGAGATCAATATGATATTAAATCATCAATATGTAATCATCAGTCATCAAAATTTCAAAAATTTCTCAAGCTGCGATATCAAATAATTATCTCAATATGATATCATATAGATGTCATAACCATAGATAAATAAATTCAAGTATGGTTGTTATATCATCATGAGATCAAATTGAGATTACAACTTGATATCAAATAATGAGAAACTTTTGATATCTAAATTACATCACATTGATATGAATTTTTGAAAAAATACCACAAACTCGAGTTTATGGTGTTTTTTCAAAAACATCAAAACGTCAAAAACGTAATGTCAATATAATATTATGGTAGGGATTGGCAAAAACCAGAAAATTTCAAAAAACCGGTTTTTGGTTTTTTTAAATTGTAAAACCGGATAAGCGGTTTTACACTGGCTTTTATTATAAAAGCGAATTTTTATTAATGCGTATAAATCCAATGTAACAAGCAGGTTTGATATACCGAAATTAAATCTGTAAACTAAAAGAAAATATTTGATACTTAAAAAAGTTTTTCATACATATAAATAAAAATTTAATTTTTTTCATAAAATATTAAAAGTTAATTTTCATACAGTACAGTAAAGGCCGTTTTCCACAAGACGAAATATTCGCGCGAAGCGAATTTTTTCGCATTGACGAGACTTTTTTTCGCGCTACTTTTTTTCGTTGTCAACAATAAAAATGGCAGCAATAAGTTTACGCTGCATGTTTAATTAAAAGCAGTTATTACTTCTTTAGCATACTTTCTACTTTGAAGAATGTGAAAATTTCTTTCCGTGCATTAATATTAATATTTCTGTCTTTATATGTCAGATGTGATATCAATTTGTAATATAATCAATTTGTAATATAATATAAGGTTTTTTTTACAAGAAAGTATAAGAAAATAAATGCTAAACTTTGATATGAACATTTCTATTAAAAAACTGTTTTTCAAGAACGAGAAGCAGGTTTAACTCTATGTAGGATTTTTCACAAAAAGGTTTATCTTCGTGTGGCAACTTGAAGATAATCATTCTTATGAAGTGTAACTTTCGTAATTGACAGTGTGAAAATTTATATTTGTAAATTCTCGATTTAGTTTTATATATAAGTCTGGTCATTTTTTTATATAAGTTTTGCTCCTTGTTTGATGAATTTGCTCATGCTTGCCAATTTTCAGAGTAAGTTCATATAAAATTAACAAGAATTTTAAGAAGGTTAAGAATTTTGTTTTTTGTTACTTTAAAAACGTGTTTTCGCTTTTTTTTACTGTTGACATCACGTGATATTATATTCAAAACTTGATTGGTTTTCGCCGATGGCGATTCGCAAAAATTTTTTTTTTTCACTGCAGCAAAAAAAAAAATCAGTGATCAAAAATGGTTGATGTGCGCATGCTTATCGACAAAAAAATTCGCTTCGCGCGAATATTTCGTTGTGTGGAAAACGGCCTTTTACATATTATTTCTACGTTGCATAAACATAATCTTTTTTTATTCATTATTAATTTAGTTCGAATCTAATGAACTTGAATCATTTTTACTTGTATGTTTCTTTTTTTTTATTCCAATCTTTTTTTTTTTTTTTGACAACTTAACGTTTTTTTAATACTCTTCTTAACTGAATATGCTACTTTTAATTAAAGTTTATACACGCGATCTGTTAACAAAAGTGTAACGTAAAAATATACTACGATCTATAATATTTAAAATAATACAAAAGTCAAAATTACAAAAACAAATTTGTTGACGAAAAATTTGATATTGTTATTTTATTTTTTTATTTTTTTTTTTAGTTTACAATTATATTTGTGATACAAAATAATATAAGAGTCTTGGAAAAAAATAAATTCAGCATACTAACAACTTAAAGTTTCGAAAAGAAGATCATAAGGATCATATCATCAGAATCTTAAAAGTTAAACATATTTATATGTAATATATAGATATATTGAAGATTTAACGTAATGCAAAGATACAACATTTGAACATTTTAATAAATAATATGCTGAAGATTTAACAAATACATTTTACATACGTTTTTAGTAGAATTTTAGAATGCTATTCATAAAGAAAATATTTTAAAAATTAGTTTTAAATTCAGGAAGAGCAAAAGCAGGATCAAAATTTGGTAATATTATTTTATTTCAAAAATGAGGTACAAAATTTTGAGATTTAACAATCTCAAATTAAAATAATTAAATAACAAACAAAATGAAACATCAAATAAAAATATCAAATAGTTTACAAAATATTTTAAGTTAGTGTTACTTGATTTTTCTGGATTGTTTTGACTATATTAAGTATTTTAAAATATAAATATTTTTAAAGGATTCTGTCAGTATGTAATCTATTAAGAATTGATCAAAAAAATATTGACATTTACTTAATGACATTGTATACAGATTATGCTGATTCTCTTTTATATTGTTTTGTAAACAACACAAGTGTTCACTACTTGGATCATTTACTTACGTATAACTTTCTCTGACTGAAACATTTAGTTTCTGCAGCAGAAAGATACGTTGTTTAGAAAAGTAATTCTTCTATCAAAAATGAATACTATTTACATAAATCTGGAAAAAAAAAATTTTTCTTGACACTGTGCAATTAAAAAATCTAACAATTCTTGGACAAGTCTAATCAAAATAAAAAAACTTTTTTACTTCTCCTTGTAATTTAAAAAATTTTAATACTTATTGAATGCAATATTGTGATACAAATATGATATTTCTATCTTACGATGAATTGCAATCAAAACTGATACGAATACCACTAATTTATTTTGTACCTGATAATTTCACATCATCAGTTATATTATTACTTGTACATAAGCAATAACATAACTTTTAAGTGATCTGCACAGTTTTAATTTAAACTTTATATTCAATAATTTAACTTTATTGTTTATCTTTGTATCCATTTTTTTTAACTAATTAAAATTTGAATTTATTTAATTTTTCTATTTTCTTATCAGTTAAGTTGACAATTACAAAATATTTTCATTCTGTGATTGCTTGTGTTTTTATAGTGTCTAAAATGTTATTATTTCTAATAAGTTATTTTGCAATATTAAATTGTTGAATCTTTATTTATATTGAAATTTACTAACTTCAGTAATTTTATATAGTAACTATATGTTTAGGGAACATGGGTTACTAAAGTAACCATATCTTTAGGGAACATGGATTCAGTTGCAAAAGTATCCTTTAACGTTGACAGGAAAAATATATACTTTTCACTGCACAAACTTAGGGAAAAAATACTTGAAAATAGGTGAAAATCAGGGAAAATGGATTTTCAAAACTGCCATAAACCCTGTGTACAGAGTGTACTATGTAATCTATATTATTATTTTTGGAAATTAAGGTGGTTTTTTAATTTGATAATTATTACCATATTAATTTATATTATTACATGTAAAACATTGTTTTTAACGTACATAAAAATAATTATATATTAATAAAGGTGTTAATTTCTTATAATAAATGTGTTTTATTAAATATATATCAATACTTGTGTGCTTTAGTTTAAACTCTGTTCATTGATTTGGTTTATACGAAATCAATCCCTAGATACAATGTGCTGACGTAGAAACAAGGTATTGGAAACATATATTTCGAGAAAACTAATCAAAATGTTGAATTTCAGTTATAAACTCAATGCAGAGACAAAATCTAAACTTAGAATCCTAGATTAAATTGATAAACCAAAGATAAATTTTGATTCTCGGATTAATTGATTCTGATGAAAAAATTGTTTAGTTTGCTAAAGAACAGTTTCAATTATATTTTAAATACTATTTTTTACATGTTATAAATTTAAAGTATTTATAAGCAAACAATTTCTTTTGGTGTTTTTGTTTAAAGAACACTTTTGAATTTATTTTAAAAAATTATTTTTGCACATTATGAATTTATTATAATTATAAACATGTAACTTCTTTTTGTGTTTTCGTTTTTGTCGAACTTTTATTCATTATATATAATAATAACAATAATAATTGTTATTATCATATATAATGAATGAAAATTCGAATATATATATATATATATATATATATATATATATATATATATATATATATATATATATATATATATATATATATATATATATATATATATATATATATATATATATATATATATATATATATATATATATATATATATATATATATATATATATATATATATATATATATATATATATATATATATATATATATATGAAGGTGCTGTAATATTTTATATATACAGTGGTGTTGTAGTATTCGAATAAAAAAATTGAGTATAAAAAAGACAATTGATTTCTCAAGAGAATATCAAAATACGATATCAAATTTTAAGGTCGGGGTGACATCAATACGTGATTTCATTTTGACATAATCATTATATCATGAACTTCTCAAAATATGACATCTCATTGAGTACGAGATGATATCAACTTTTGATATCATAAGGTTCTCATATTATGATATCAAATTTGAGCTCAAATTGATATAACTGAGTGATTTCATTTTGATATCATATTGATCTCATAAACATATCATGCTATGATATCATAGATCTCACAGTATGAGATCAATACGATATAATTATGATATCAAATGGCTGACTGGGTACTGAGTAAAAGCAATTGCTTTTTTTGATTCACCTAGTCATATATTATGTCAAAGACGTTTTTTAGATAGACCTTAAACTCATTGTTTAAAAGCCAAGATATGCGCGATTGTAATGGTTATAAACAAAAATGGCTGAACAATAGAAAACGTTTGCGTCACGTGGAAATACTTTTAAATGATTGTACATCAAAATGACAGCTGTCTCATCTAATCTTATCTAGAAAAAAAACTTTATTATGCAAAGTACTGTGATTGATATATTTTACTATTTTGTTAAAATCTTTTAAAATCATTTTCTTGTTATACGAATATTTATGTTTAATGAGTTTGATTAAAAAGGCAGCGTATAAACTTTTTGTTTGAAATATATTTTGATTTTAATATATATTTTTATTTACAATCAAACTCTTTAAACTATTTTGTTAAAAATTATTCTATCTACTCAATCATCTTTATTTAATTCCTTTATAACTATATAAAAAAAAGTTTTTAAATGATTATTTTAGAACTCTACTAGTAAAAAAAATTCAGCTACCAAAAAATAACAAAACATAGCTGTAAGACAAAAAACAATTTGATTTCCGTCAAAAATTAGAAGTTAAATCTTTGAGAAAATAGTAAATTCAAAGTGTAGAAAGTAATGGTTGCCAACAATCTTTAAATGATATATGATATCCTACAACACGTAGAAAATTATTTTTACTTTACAATATTTATATTAGTATATCATATTTATTTATCATTTTTACAAAAACATTAGTTTTGACGTCAAAGTTTTTTTACAAACAAGTTATTATTAAACAAAGCTTGCATATTAATAAAAATGTTTTCAAATACATAAGAGATTCCTGATTATAAAAAATGAATTCAAACCCGCATAGAATTTCAGAAATTGGCGGCGCCTCTGATCTAAGGTTTGTGGACACAACATAAATTTAGTTTTCTCTACATTTAAGTAAAGTATATTACCATTTAACTTGTAATCCACTTATTTATTTTCATAAACTTTTCATTAAGTACTCTAAACAGATCTTTTATATTACTAAGTAAAAAAGATTCAAGTCATCAGCAATAATAATAACATTTAAGACTTTTGATGCTAAATATAAATATTTATATGAAGCAGGAATGATAACGGCCTCATGATTCATCCATGGGGAAACACAAAAAGATATAACATGTTTTTCTACTTTATTTGTTGTATATGCTATGTGTTGTTTTCTGTTTAACTGATAACTTTTACACCAGAATAGGTTATTGTTTAATATAAATAAAGTTCTGTGTTTTTTTATAAGTTTTTTATGTTAATACCCTACCGGCACATCTAGTTTCTTTTTCGGAAATAAAACCTATATAAGCACGTGTTTATCACGATCCATGCATAAACCAAAAGCACGTGTATATTACGGGCAGTTTTACTAGAGTTTAACACGTATTATTTGAGGTTTTAAAGTCAAATTTAAATAACGCATGTTTTTATCAGTGGTTTCACATTCGTTACGGAAATTTATTACAATATACTACGTTTCCATAACGATGAAACCATTAATACTTTAACTGGTATTTATGGTAAATAGTAATAGTTAATTTCACCACTTATAATACGTGTTATTCTTTTTTGTTTTAGAAGGTTTTAAAAACGCAACAGAAACCAAGCGTAACTATTTTCTGAGTTGAGCCGGCTGGGTAGTGTTAATAAATTTCATTTTAATATTTTTTGAAAATGCTTCAATAGCATTCGATACTATTAGTATCAAATGCTATTAAAGCATTTTCAAAAATATTATTACTGCACGATATGTTGAATGATTCTTTTTAAACCTAAACTGTTTAACATACAGTATATTATGATAATATGGAGATAATATAGAGATAATATTATCTCCATATTGTTCTCCGTTAAGTAATTATTAAATCTATCATGCATAAATAAATTCTAACAATTTTAAAACTAATAATTGTATCAATATGTGTTAAGAAAATAAAAAACTCGAGAAAGATTTTCCTATATAATGTATATATATCACCACCAGTACGTTTAATAAAAAAATTCAATTCATTTAACTAAATTAAGTTTTCAATTAAAGCAAAGAGTCTGAAGAAACACATTTGAGCTAGCGCATTTGATTAATAGATTGAATTGATACACAAAAAAGCAAAGTTAAAAAAATTTTTTCTTACTTTCCTGGTAAAGTTACAAGATGAACACATTCTCTACAAAGATTGTACGTGTTTCCGAGTGGAATAAGTGTTTTTTTAGGTGTACAACAACTAGAAGAGTTGCAATATGTAATAACTGTTCCTTGGGGCATTCCAGCTGGCTGTCTCCAAGTTGGAGCTTGCGTTTGTCTTTTCTCGCGATGATTTTTTTTTTTTACTAAAAGACAACGACGAGCTCATATATTGCCTTGTGAAGTTAATACAAAAATTATTTATTAATATGTATATATATATAAATATATATATATATATATATATATATATATATATATATATATATATATATATATATATATATATATATATATATATGTATATATATATATATATATATATATATATATATATATATATATATATATATATATATATATATATATATATAAATATATATATATATATATATATATATATATATACATATATATATATATATATATATATATATATATATATATATATATATATATATATATATATATATATATATATATATATATATATAAATATATATATATATATGTATATATATATATACATATATATATATATATATATATATATATATATATATATATATATATATATATATATATATATATATATATATATATATATATATATATATATACATATATATATATAAAATATATATATTACTTCAAATATTAACTGTTAATGTGCAAAATTAATTTCATTTGTAAGTTGTAAATGGACATCTAATAAAATTTAACTTATAAATGAATATTTAACCTAAAAATTTTCGTTAAGTAATTGTTAGTTTTATCAAAAAAAACTTTAAAGTTACTTTCTTTTATGAGTTTATATTCAAATCTAACAATTTGAAATGGCAATTGAGTCAAACGTGCTAAAGCTATTAAAAACACAAGGCTTCACCGAGAAATATCTTCGGACATAGATAATGAATAGTATGAAATAATAATATATTATAATACTATGCATTATTTTGTTATTTTACTACATTTTTTTGTACACTGTTCACTAAACAGTGTACGTAGTATAAAAATATCTGAATTATCTGAATTATCTGATCTTAATATACTATCTGAAATTTGAAAATATACTGAACACTCTAATTCGGAACAGTCCATTCAGTTTGTCCAGCAAATTATTTACTAAGAAACAAAAAAAACATATTAATACAAAAATAAGTTAGCTAACAAGTTTATTTTAACTATAGGTATAACATATTATTTACTTTATTATTATTATTTATTATTTATTTATCATTATTTAGGTGCTCCAAGAAGTCCTTACGGTCTTATTACAGAGCACCTCGGATGAGCATTTAATTGGAAGTTCACGCCTCCTTCCTAACCGATGTCGCAAAACTTGCCCAGAACTAGGGTTTGAGCCACCGATTCTTTGTTTCTTAGGGAAGTGCGTTTTTGATGAATAGACCAACAGGCATTCTGCAAGTTTCCCAGAATGCATTCCGTCGTCTCTTCATTAACAATAACACTTTATGGTTTGTTTTTTTGCTTTTAATTTTATTTTTTTATTACAGAATTTCATCACATTTCATTTTCATTTCAAACAAATAACTTTAATTTTAGTTTTAACATATTATATGAAAGACCTGATTTATTTTGTTTCCTTAAATTTTTAAGAATAACAAAACACGGCTCTTTAAATTTTACAAAAAAAAAAAATTTTGTTTATGAACTTTTGCTGAAAACAACAACTTTTTAGTAGAAACTAGAGTTGTTAACCAAAAGGTTTAGTAAAATTCAGGGAAAAAAATTCTTGCAAAAGGTTATTTGTAACTGGAAACAAACTTGTTCGTACCGAAACAATAAACATTTAAAATCGCCGATTTTCTTTTCGTAAGTACTGATTCCAAAATACAAGTTGAATTTCAAAAAAAGCTTTTTGCTACATACAAAATTAGCCCATTCGGAAGTAGCATTTGCGGCGTTTCGGAGTCAATTATGAAAATTTGATCGCTAAATGGATAGAAATGTAAAAATTAAACATCTTTGTAAACCAAAATTTTTGTAAATAAATGCTATTTTCAGAATCACAAAGTATTATCGATATAAAAAACTACTTCATGAAACAATTATAAAAGTAAAAGTTTATTTTGAAATAAATTTTTTAGCAACAGTAACTTGCGGAACAATCAATTTCGGAGAAAATTTATAAAACAAGTCATTACAGATCAAGGCAATTACAGAACAATAATGAGCGTTGTTAATGGTCTAATTTCTTTAAACCAGCATGGCTTTGTTCATCGTAAGGGATGTGTATTAAACCTTTTAGAAACTCGGGACATCATGACGGAAGCAACTCACTGCAGACACGCAGAAGACATCATTTGGACAGACTTTGCAAAGACGTTTGACAAAGTACCACATAAACGCCTCCTTCATAAGCTGAGAGCGTACGGTATTCAAGGCGCTCTCATTGACTAGATTGCAGCCTGGCTAAACAATCGATGTCAACGAGTGGTTATAAACAGCATTACTTCTGAATGGAAAGCAGTCACTAGTGGAGTGCCTTAAGGCTCTGTCTTGGGCCCATTGCTATTCGTAACCTTTGTAAAGGACCTGCCGGACAGAATTGCTCATCATATGAAACTGTTTGCCGACGACAGCTAAATAATAATTAAAAAGGAGTCGTACAGCATCACTCTCCAAGATGACGTTGACAGAGCAGTGGAATGGTCACACGTTTGGCTCTTACATTTCAACGTTGAGAAATGAAAAGTAATGCATGTTGGACGCGGATGTAACCCGTCGTCCTCTCGAAAAAATCGCAATCGAAAGAGACCTTGGTGTGATGGTCTTGAATGATATTAAAGTCAGACCGCAAATAGAGTCAGCCGCATCAGTAGCAAATAGAATGCTAGGGTGACTTAAAAAAACATTTCGCAGTCGCAGTTTTTATTTATGGCGCACTCTGTATCTCACTTACATTCGCCCGCATCTTGAGTTTGCTGTACAAGCCTGGTCACCGCATTTTAAATCAGACATTGCCATTCTCGAGCAAGTCCAACAACGAGCAACAAAAACAATATCGACTATTAAACACCTGTCCTATGAAGATCGACTCCAACGGCTCGGTTTAACAACTCTTGAAGAACGCTGCAAAAGAGCAGATCTTATCGAGCAATTCAAAGTCACTCGTAATCTCCAGCTTGTCAGCTTTGTCGTCCCGCAAAAATTTTCAAAAAGTAAAGATAAGTATATTCTAAGAGGCCATAACCATAAATAAAACATCAGATGGTAAAAAACTGTGAAGAGCGACATAACTTTTTTTCAAATAGAATTGTTGCCCCATGGAATGCGCTTTCGCAAGAAGCAGTGAACCCTCAATCCATCAACGCTTTCAAAAACAACATAAGAAAGTAACTTTATAGATACAACAGCTGCTTTGTCTGTAGCGTCTGTATCTTTATGTTAATCAGCATAGACGGGCCTGGTGTAGCGCCTCTTCATCAAATTATAAATGGATTATTGTATTTGTATCTGATCACTGAAATAAATGATAAGATTTATTTAATTATGTTTTATAAAAAATTTTTAATGAACCATTTAACTTAATGCTATTTGTTTATTTATATTCATAAGTGGCAAACGCGATTAAATTATATTATAAATAAATAAAGGTTATTCATAACATAAGCTTCTAAAATGTCATTTAATAAACAAGAATTAAAAAACATGAATAACACAAAAGAAAATTTAAAGCAGCTAAACCATATGTATGGGATAATGTTGATGCGCCAATAATAAATAATAAATTCGTAATCTTTTATATATTTCAATAGTAAATGGAAAATAAAATATTCTGATTATTCAACAAGCAACATGACTTTGGTATTAAAAAATCTGTCTATAAAGTATTATGTCGTTATGTTTTTAAGATTCGTAATATCTGATGCAGGGGCGAACTAGGAATAAAATGAGGGGAACAAACCCTTAAAAAGTACTAACTAATTTTGAAATAAAAAATAAAATGTTTCAAAATTTAAAAACCCCAATTAACCGACAATAATTATCAAAAATCGGCTATAACAAAAATCGCCTTCTTTTTTGGGAGAAGAAAGATATAACATCCACCGCAGCTTCACCCTAAATTGATAATCGTTGATTTGCGTGAAACTCTGAGTTATGTTAAAAGTAAATTAAGTTGTCATCGCAAATGAGCAATTAACCAGGAATTTCCTCTTCGATAGCGTGCAATATGCCCAAAGCTTCAAACACTGGATCTTTTGCTTCTCAAGCAAACCCTCTAACCACTGCGCCATGGCCACTTATCACAGATCATTGATAAAGAGCTTAAATACCAGAAAACTTGAGTCTTTTTCCTTATCGATTGCTTGTTATTCGGGCAGGCCTTGATTACGTATTGGTTACGTAAGTTTATAACATACGTTATTAAGAAAAAATAGAATTTGTAATTTCTTGTAAAACCAAGAAGTCCTTACGGTCTTATCACAGAGCACCGCGGAAGAGCATTTATTAGGAAGTTCACGCCTCCTTCCCAACCGATGTCGCAAAGCTTGTCCAGAGGTAAGGTTTGAACCACGGATCTTACGTTTCTGAGGCAAGTTCGCTACCACTGCTCTTACAATTACAAAGTATTTTTATAAAAGTTTAGTTATTATTATTATTATTATTATTGTTATTATTATTATTATTATTAAAACAAAAAACAAAAAACAGAACGCTAGATTTAACTATCGATTTTCTTCTTTAAAATTCTTGTGAAAAATATCTGTAGAAAAATTACTTTTCTAAAACAATTTTTTGCATCATATGTACTATATAGTAAAATAATACTAAAAGAAAGAAGTTAGATTTTAAACAGGGCCGCCGAGAGCCGTCATGCCGCATGGAACAGCAGCCCAAAAAAATGGCAATTAAAAGTAGTTAATAATAAGTGCTTTACTCATAGAATAGCACCTACTTCATTTTGTAAAGATATAAATTACAACTATCAATTTAACTTGGTCTACGAACCCAAAAGATCTTGGTGTGACCATGGATTCTTACTTAAATTACAGTAATGATATTTCAAATATCGTCCGCGCATCAAATATTCGAGGATATCTAATCTTTAAGTGTTTTAAAAGTCGTGATCCACGTGTTATCGTCAAAACCTACACGACTTATATAAGACCGATCTTAG